GGCCTCTGCAGCGTGCGTCCGTCCTTCCCGCCTCCGCCCCGGCGCCAATCAGCTGACAGGAAAGAGCCCCGAGCCGCCAATCAGCAACCAGCAGACTGAGCCGCTCCCACCTCCCACCTCTGCGCTATGCGAACCAATCACGGAGGGCGTTGTTGGCTTCCGGATTACACTCGTTGCTGGGCAACCACGCGTTTACAGTGGGGGAATTGTATTTCAGCATACTTAAAATCAGCGTAGGCAACGCCCTTTGATATTAAGCCATACACTACTTTGTTCGGTTTTTTTATTTAAATACCACTCCAGCATACAAAATTACACTTACAACAGAGAAAAAAAAAAATACAGACACTGTGGTTATTTACATCGGGTTATTTCCATGCTTCCCTGCCGCCACGCTGAAGAACCAGACCGTTACTTCCAGAACGTCAAGTAAAATATTTTTCCACGCAAACCAGTTACTTAAGGACCCCAGCTGCTGTCATTTAAGAAAAGAGCACGTGCTGGGTTGCCAAGTTCAGCAATTCACGTGCGGCGACGTGCAACACTCCTTCCTGGCACAGCAGCCAAACCTTGATTTTCTTCCTCTGCCACAAAGCCACATGCGGCCTCACACGAGAGCTCGCGCAGCCTTCAGGGAACTCCCAGACACGGCACCACACAGGCCCTCCTGCAGCACCTGTCGAGGCCAAATCCTGCAGCCTTCGCGCATGAAAGAGCCACTCACCTCCAGCACGGAGCACAAAGGACTCGGCCTTCTTGGCCCCTGAGCCACACAGACCCGCTCTGCTATGGCTGAAATCTGCCATTCCTCTTGTGATGGGGAAACACAGCTTCTGCCCGAGTCTGCCTCAACGCTCATTTCTTTTTATAGTCTTATCCTGATGACAATTTAAGATACCTTTGCACTTATTTAAAAGGTGAGAAAGACTTCAAGAAACTAAACCATCTGAGCCGCATTAAAAATACATCTTCTTTTAAAATGACATTTATACAGCTCATTTTGTAGTACCAGTACTTTTTTTTTTTAAAGAAACTTGTAGAACAGTTTAAAACTTTCAGTGAAGGCTGACTGATAAAGATTCTGATCTCATGAACTGAATGGATGATGAAGTTCCTGATCTCACGAACTGAAACTCTGACCAATGGTTTTAAACACAAATGAAAGAAGTTAAAGCATTTTCTCAGTACTCACTGTCACGGTGCAAGCTACTTACACCACTTTTTCAAGTCTTCCTTGGAGAAATTTGTTCCATCTTGCTCTGCAAGGCTTTGGAACACCAGTTCATTTAACTGCAGCAAAGCACTTCAGTCTCACATTTTTCTTACCCACCATTTTGCTGTTTGCTCAACAAATTAAATATTCACCTCTTAGAGCATTACAAAACCCTTCTGGGTGTGTTGCTGTACCACTTCAGAAACCGAGCAAGCCTGCAAATCACATTCAGTTTCACTGGAGATTATTTACTGACCCCATCAGCCTCAAAGGTTTTCACTGGAAGCAATGTAAGCGTCTTTAAAGAATTCTTCCTTTCCAGCCATAACCGAATTGAATGAATGAAAACCATGGACTTCTTGTGCTCCAGTCCCTCTGCCCACTTTTGCAGCTTTCTCCAAATTTACACCCCATAGACTGTGGAACTAGATACAGAACAATCCTATTTGCGTTCTTCTTAAACTCCACTTACGCTCATGTTAATTATTTCAATGATAGTATTTTCAACACACTGGCATAACCGAACATCAGGGTCCATGCTTGCAATGTCCCTTGAACAACTTTTGTTAAATGGATCTTTACAAAGTCCTGACACTTCATGTGGTTTCTCCTTTAGTTGCTGGAGACCTAAAAAATTAAGTAAAATAAGCAAAGTACGTCTAAATAAATAAACATATTTTTTAAATTGTTACATTACACCCATAACATAAACATGTATGCTATGAAATTGCAAATTTGAGCCACCACTATTTCATGCACCAGGCTTAACTCCACAGATTATTTCTTGAGACACTTCAACATTTCTTTTTTATTTACCTATGTCTGACTCCTTTGGGGTTTTTTGTATTCCCTCTTACTTCTTTTAACATAAATATCCTAGCATACCTAGCACCATGGAATCACACGAGCAGAACATTTGTCTTTAGGAACAAAAAAAAAGAAGAGACAAAAACATGCTCAAGATCAACTGATACATTCACACAATCACTACATATTTATCCAACCATGCTACGTCATGTGTAAGACTTCAGGTAGCTCATTGGACTTTGCATTTCCAACAGATTAGGAAGATTTGTATGTCCATTATGCCTCAGCTGAGAGGTTGAAATGTCCTTGTGTTCCCAAAAGTCAATGGCTTTTGCTCACATCTTTAATCCTTAGACTACAAGGGCAAATTCTACGCACAACTCTTGCATGCAGGGATACATCTTGACATGATGCAAGCAGGGAAATAAAACAGAAGGAAGGTGGTACAAAGTTTAATAAAAGGGGTACTTTCAGCCCCTTTAGCCTCTAAACTCTCTCCTCCAATCCAGCAAATCCACCTATCCCTATTCTGTCTGTATTTACAAGACAATAGCAGTAAATTTCATACTGCATTCCAACTGCACTCAAACTTTTGAAATATTAACATAATTTTCTCCCTGGGACCGTGACATTACTTTTGAAATACAAGGTACTTTACTTACGTGTAATAATCGGGTCGAAGTCTCTTGTCTGCGTAGCAACATCAGAGGCACAAACTTGTCCTATTTGTATCAGCAGAGACATAATATCCTCATACAAAGGAGGAAAGGCTTGACAGAATGACACCAAACAAGGCAGGGTCGGCATAAAAAAAGCATAGCGCTTCGAGCGGGTTAAAACTATCAAGGAAAGGGAAATGGTTAAGTAAAAAGAAATTATTACAAAAATACAGTCAAGAATTGTTGTTACCTTTACAATCATAATTAACACAGTGGCATTTAGACAAAACTGCATTCAACGTAGACAAATAATTCTAATTTACACAACACCACAAGCGGAGGTTGCTGGAGTGCTTACCCGTGAGCAGGGTTCCCATCACATTGATAGCTAAACGAGCCACGCTGAGAGATTTAGGTAGCGCATACTGGATACACAAAAATGAAAGTAACTGGATGGCAAATATCTGTTAAGTAAGTGAAAGGCAAAAGAGAAATAAGCAATAAAGTTACAGATTGCTTTGCACTTTCTATCCAAAGCTCTTCACATAACCTAGGAGTTAGTAAATATTCTCTATTTCAACAATGAGGAAATTGAGAAGAAACAGCCTTAATAACAGTCATTCTGAATTTCTTCTGCTGACATTAAGAAAAAAACCCCACTCATATTTAACATTAATCAAAATACCAGCATTAGTGTTTCAGAATCTCCCCCACAGATACAATTTGATCCGACATTAACAATGAACAACAAAGCAACACACAATTTGCATATAACCCTTGTAAAAGCTGTTTACAGTCCAATGTGTTTTAGTTTTAACTTTAGTGGAGTGTCCTCTCATCAGCAGTAACTTAGTATTTGAGAAGGGATTAAATAAGAGCAACTATAAAAATGGCTTGATGTAGAAAACAGATGAATCTTTAGACCAACAAATTCCAGTTACCTACAACGAGCCAAATATGTAATCTCCCGTTGTCACAGTACACTAAATCAGGGTCTACAAATTGCTTTAGAAAGTAATAATAAACGATTTTCCATTGTTTTTCATAATCATCGTGAGGAGACCTTCAAAAATATTGGTGAAACATTTCAAAATCAGATTCTTGACTCCCCCTTTGCTGAGTCTGCAATGAGAAGAAACCCTCACTCTTCAGATGCAAAGAGCACAGCTTTGAGGAAAGTAGCACAGGTCACTCTAGCAGGCTTTGTTCCTGCAGTTAGACCAGGAAAAGAACCGGTAGGACAACTGTCACAGGAGAAACTTAAACCGATTAAGAAATGTACACCTTATGCTCTTGCCCCAAGCTTGCTTCAAGATACAGTAGTAATATTCCCTGCAAAAAGACTCAGTAGTCAAACTTTTCATGAGAATGAATAAAATTCTGATCTTAAGGCTGCTTCATCTGTTCTATGGAGTTTCTTTGCAAAAAAAGGTTTTCAAAACTTAAACCTTCATAGAAGTTCCTGTAGCTATAAATTATCAGATAAAAATTAAGTAGGCAAAACTTCTGCCAACTGATTTATACTCAGTATAAAGAATGAATGGAAGTCACTACTCAAAAGTGCTTTTATTCATGTTCTTGCAGGTAATATTGAAATTCCAGAGTACTTCCTGAACAAGTGTACAGAGGTATGTTAGCAGAGTTGTCACAATTGCTGTTTGAAGGGAACTGGGCCTTCAACTTAAGGTAAAAGTGCTTACAGATTATTACCTTAACATCCAGGCAAATGAGAACAGGACTATTTTTAGTGACCCTCTTATTGTCTCGCCTTAACCAACACTTCATCAGGGTTAACTATCTACAGTGATTCTCAAACTCGGTGACTGTACAGTACCTGTTTTTCAAGTTCAGGCTGGGCAATGAGCTCGGGTATGAAATCCAGACAGATGTGCATCGATGGAATCCCTGCCACTGTCAGTGCCAGAAGTTCACAGGGATAACCCTGCGTCATTAAGAAAACAGATGTATCACTGCGTCAAAGGTGTTTTAAAAATTCTGCTTCAATTATGATTTGAAATTAGTTTTGAAAAAAGCATTAACACAGATCTAATATACTTGTAAATGTCTTGTTCAGAATTATAAGCAACAGGCCTGTATCCCAAGGCGACAAGAGGCATGCGGGGTGACAAACCCAGGGTCTGAATCAGTTCTTCATCCTCAATACCCAATGTATTATTTGCATAGGAACTCTCCCTCCATTCCCCAAACTAAACCAGGCTGCAGTGACCCACTCCTTCGGTCTCTTTCCCCTGTGTTTCAAACATCACCATAGCCCCCAACTTGCTTATTCCATGACTGCATCATTATGACCTTTTTAGTCACTTAACCAGTTCCAGGTCAAGGCAAATTAACTCCTTTAAAAGAGACAGCCACCTGGCAATGACCAATTTAACTAAAAGCACATTTATGTTAAAAAATTTGCTAATCTCTCCTCTCTTCTTTTTTTGAAGACATACAGCTGCTGGGGCAGGGGCAACCTTTCTCCTTCCACTCTAAAAGAGGTAAACTGCCCTAACAAAAAGGAAAGATAAGACATTTACATTTGAAGCCGAATTACTTTTGAATAATGGGTATTCATAATTTAAAAACATCGCCAGAAAAAAAGTAACACACAGAAGATGTGGAACAAGTAACTGTAAGATGATTAGGTCCGTCTTCCTTGGCCTAGAATGGACAAACTATTTTGGTATAAAAAACAGCAGAGGCACAAACAAAGCACGGGTTTAACGATGAGGAACAGGCATAGTTCAGCTGCTCCCTTTTCAGCTACAACACGGAGTCCAAGTACTGAAATCTGGAGGAAATGTAGGTACTGCCAGTTTGGTGAGATGGGAAGCACAGAAGTGGGCCATTATAATTTCTGAGGAACACAACAGCAGCATTCACCATCCTTTGACCACTTCGTTTGTCTCTTTCTTAACCAGAGAAACCAAGGAAGAACTAAAACAGTGCAAAGCATACCTGGAAATGGACTAGTTTGACTATGTTGGGATCAGCTATATACATCTGATGCAGCAGACAGCAGATCAGACACTGGACCTCTCGAAGATTACACAGCAAGCTATCTTCTTCTTCTTCAAGTTCTGGACTCTTAGGGCCTGTGGTACTAGGAAGACTCTTTAGCAAACCATGGATATTGCTGCTTTGGGCTTTCTCTTCTTCTGTGGGTAAGCAGATCTCTAGAAGAATCTGCACAGCAGCACTGTCCTGCGAAGAAAATACGCAACAGAACATGCATAAAAAACCCCAATGAAATGAAACAAATCAAAGTAATGACAATTTAAGAAATCGAAGACTGTCAGGTGGCTAGCATTTCTAGCTATAGATTTTTTTTTCCCGTACAACAGAAACAACTCAGTTCAAGAATCACAATCCTTGAAGAACATTAAAAAACCCCAACACTTTATCTGAATCAAGACTCAAAGAAGAACAAAAGCTTAATCCAGCAGATCACCACAATCACAGATCAAAAGAGTAATTTCAAAGGAATCTCATACTATTTCAAAATAAATATCCAATGATCCCTTAAAGCATCCATGTCAGAAAAAAAATGCACATGGCCATGTAATTCACAGTATTCAGAGGAGACTACCCTACTCATTTAAAAATAAAGCTTCCTATTAACTCAAAAATCATGTTCTAATAGGGACTATGTATGTGACATTCTTCCAGACAGAAGTAAGAAGAGACTGTCTGGGAAACAGGATTACTCAAGAATTCCCACCATGTCAAGCTAAGTTCACCATTCTTCAGTCTCACACTTTATGATGCTAGCTGCTTCTTCTAAATAACATAGATCAAATGATCATGCGTAGGTCTGTCCCATTTATTCGTGTTTTACTGCTGCAAAGCTAAGTACAGAAAGAGCTTCTGGAAAACACAAGCAACAAGGCAAAAGGGCTAGTAAGCAAAACTCCTCTGTTCTAACGAACAGAAAAGTACACTATCGAAGCAGCTAACCAACACAATGTTTCAGACTAGAAAACAGAAGACCGAAAATATTTAACAACCTGAATACAGAGGCAATTATCTTTTCCATGGTAACAGAAGTCGATAAAAAAGAAGTAAAAAGGTCTCCTCTTTAATTTCCTGTCTCTGTATTTCTGTTTTATCATTGTCTTTCTTCACATCATTTAATATCCATTTCTTCCCCCTTACCTGAGCAGCAAGCAATGCATTTTTTAATTCTTCCCTTGTAACTTCTGGGGCCTCTGGCCCCATGGCATTGTTTTGGGATGGCCTAATGTCCTGCTCTGCTGTTTCTTTTAGGTGACAATTGAGGTAAGCTTTTGAAGCAAGGAGATATCCATTCAACATGTGCAAAGTTATATCCATCAGAGGAGGACTCCTGATATAGGAACACATGATAAAATACAGGCATTTCAGTAGGCAGAACAATAGGACAGTAATAACATGAACAAACTAAAAGCACTCCTCAAAGGTCGTTTGATTGTAGTCTGGTTCACAGTAAAGCTGTTTTCCCTAACGCAGCAAAACACTGAAGGTCACAATCACTTCTGCTGCCCGGCATCTCTCATGCACACATACGTATGCGTACACTCTACAAAAACAAGTAACTGCTGAAGAGACCAATTTCTGATGAACAAAGGAAACCCAAAAAGTGTTGGCTGTACATAAAGAAAGAAAAATAATGACCTAAATGACAGGGAAAAACAAGGCAGACAAGCTCTGAACTGCTTCTGTAATACTAAGCTGATAGTTTTCAAATCACACTGCATTATAAACCTCCCTAACCGTTTTAGAAACATAGGATTTGCAATTTGCATCCAGGGCTGAAAGGACGTACATTTAAATATTTAACCTATAGGCTGAGGATTAAAGATGTCATCAACAGAAACTTCAAGTCTAGCAGAGTTGTAGCAACTCAAATGAAAACTGGATTCACAGCTCAATTGTTAAAAGGCAAGGAGGGACAGATGCATACAAACAGGAACATGAAGCACAAATCAAATTGACTACTAGCCATTTATTATGAACAAAAAGATAATAAAAATGGGAAAAAGAAACCACAACTGACAGAAAATGTGAAAAAGAATACACAACGAATAAAGCTAGGGGCTGAAGTACATTTTAAATGATTAATCGCTATCTTCTTCAGAATCACAGATGCGATTTTCTTCATTACAATGAAAAAGCAAAGTTATAATTTACAAATTCTGACTTACTGTTTGCATTATTTCATATTCTCCTTAAAAGCTGGCCCATTGCTATTGGTTATGATCATTTTCACTACTAAAATTATCATCCGATTCTACTGCATCAAAGCCATAAAGCAGCATGACACATCCTCCTCTATCATCAATGACATCTAGAGGAACTAATTTCCAAGTACTGCTAAAAGACTTTTTTGAGAAATTAAGCAAATCTACCTTTGCCATATCCATCAAGCACGCACCAGCAGAAATGGTTATCCAACAGATGGAACACCTCCAGGCCCAGGAGGGATGACAAAAGGCAGTGGAAGGATGTTACAGCCACAACCTCAACCACCACCACCACCACGTGGCAGCAGCCATTTTAAGCACGCTGCAATGTCTATTTAGAAGAATTCACAAATACAAATCCAAAATGGACGATCTACATACAAATCCCAAAGTTTCCAAAATAGAACTGAGTGTAAGGTTGTCCACGACGACACTCGGCTGGGCAGCATGACATGCTGAAACAGCACACGCAGCTCAGCCCTCCGACCAACAAGCTGAATACAAAAAAGATGGAACTTAACAAGCTCATATGATTAGTTCGAAACTATCTTTTGAAGTACTGAAAGCTTTTAGAGTTCTCTGTGAGACACCTTTATGTTTAGCATTCACTACATACCAATGTAAGTACCATGGAACATAAAAGCTAAAGGAGGGAGATGCTCACCTGTGAACTCTCTGATCGCATCTTAGTACAATCAAAGGATCAATCATCAGATCTTTCTGAGTGTATTTCTGCTGTCGGACTATTTTTACTGAAGGCTGAAGAGCATTAACAGTCATGACCCACAACCTAAAATGAGATCATGTTTACAAGTTTTTCATTAGATAATCTGTAAGAGATAAGGCTCACGCAAGCATCTGGACACTCACTTATCTCAATGAGCTGTATTTTTATCAAGCAGCAAAAGACCCATGGTTCATTTGCAGCCCTTGAAGTTAACCAAGATATAGTTCACTTACACTCACTGGAATTAGAGCAACCAAACTGTTTTCGCTGCAACAGAGCATCCAATTCCTCAGAAAAGGCACATGCTTACCAAAGTGAGCTCATGTTTCAGCAGCAATTTGTCATAAACAATGTATGCTATAAAACCATAGTCTACATTTTAAACAAACTGGTGACTTCCTTTCCCCAGAGAACATGAAGTACCATCCCTCCAAGTGCAAAGATTAAAAATTTCTGCAAAGCAAAAAGGAATGCAACTCCAACACATTCTCTTCAGTCACAACCTCCAATTTCCCAGACAAAGGCACTGTGTCATTGTTTTTGAAACAGAAAGTGGGATTCCACCTCTCTGCAACAACAAAATAAACAGTATTTTGAGCCTACCTTCTTGGCATCACCGTGTTAAGAACCATCCAGAGTTTATTGACAGTCTGAAGAATCCTCCGAGGGACTCCAGCATTCAGCAAGTGATTCATATTTGATGTCAATACTTCTGCATATGGGATCAATTCACCAGCTGAGAGAAGTGTTAAATGTTCTAAGATCTGCATCAGCTGGGTATGATTTCCAGGCAGCATGGAAAATGCTGTAAAATAAAGACAATGGGATTTTGGTACAACTGGACTTCTGGCATTTTTTCTGACTTGGCAGCAGAACATTTTCATTACACAAATGCAGTATGAGCAATTGAATTAAATGGCTACACACTTCCAAACCCACTATATTCCAACCAATTTGTAAAGAACACTACTTACTTCACATGAAGTTATTTACCTTCCTGAAGCTGTTTGGGAGAGTGATTCTTCGCAATGTTTGTAAGAAGCATCCTCCTCAGTAAGGCATCAGTGCCCGTGATCTGCTCCTCACAGATCCAGTCTTCCACAATGCAGAGGTGTGGATAGTTAGTTGCAAGCAGGCGTAACAGTGAAGAATGCAAACCTTTAGGGGTATTAAGACAGTATACATCTTAGATTTGAGTTAGCTATGTCTTTCACTTGAAAGTATTTGTGCCTGTCATTTCAACAACAGACCTTAACTGAATCACTGCCAAGAAGTTCACTGAGCATGAGGGTTTACAGCCTGATATTCTAATTCCAACAGAAAGGAAAAGTTACCTTTTGGAAACATGGGAGGACTCCGTAGTAACTCCTAAACTCAGTCCAGAATAATTAAAAATTCTGAGGCAACTCCTACTCTAAAACCTACTCTAGGTAGGTAAGACCTACTCTAAAAAGAACTGTCTTCCTCAAACTTTCACTACTAGTCTTCAAACACATCTGTAATCTCACTTCTTACTCCTGACAGATTTTCAAAGAAAGAGAAAGGAAGGAAACCGACGCCATGAACAGATCTATGAAACAGAAAACAGCCACAGAGCTGGAAACACGCTTAGCCTTCCTCCTTCGTGCACATTAGGCTTTCACAGACAGACATACCTCCCAGCTCCTGCTGCAGTCCTTGTGCCTGCCGGATGAGGTACTTGATTGGAATCTGATCCATTAATGCTGAAGAGTAAGACTTCGGTTTCTTCTGCATGGCAGCTATAAGGGAACAGGACAAGAAACCACGCATAACAGTTACAGCTGGAAAAAGTTATTTTCCCAACAGAACCAATAAAGAAAATGTAAAGCACTTGTCTCTATGTTATTCAGGTAAAATAGAGAAAATCCCAAACAACACACCTGACTCCTGCTAAAGTATTAAATTAAGCTCTCAACCATTTCCGTGAACATTTCTATTTAAAGATTTTCCTGGCATTTAGATTAGTTCGCAAGATTTCCATACTATCTTTGACCAAGTCCAACTGATTTTGGAATCATAGCTCAAATCTGCACTTTCTTTATTCAAGGTTTTTATTCTTCAAAAAAATGGTAATCAGTTGGTACATGGAATTCAAACTTGGCACACACAACACCCTGTAGTCAGGTGGAAGTAATAAATGCAGGAAGAACCACAATTGATTTTATAGTATTTCAGTCTCTTGAACAGCATGAAAAAAATAGAACTGATGAATACCGGAAGTTTAGCACCCTAAAAAGGGCAGGTAAAAACAGCCACCAGATATAAATACTATGTTTTCATTGAAATTAAACTCCATCAATAAACTACATAACACTATTTTAGAATTGACTTAAAGTCTCAGTTTCAAAGGTAAGAAGGGATCATGCAGTATGGTCAACTATAAAATTGCCAACCCAAAGAAATGCATGTGCAAGTTTGATAACACACAAATAAAGGAAGATCTGAAGTAATTAAGAAGTCTTTGGTAATTATTGCTGTATTTAGTAGATGGTCATACACATTTCTGGTGACTTTTTGGCCAGCTTCGACCTTTTTTTAATCTGGAAAACAAATTACTGGACTACAGAATTGTAGCAGAAACTTTATCTCCCAAATTTCCACACCAATGCCGTATTTATTACAAGAACCTAAACTTTTTATGCTGTGCTTGAATCGGACAGCAACATGAATTCTGGTTATTGTAAGAATTCCTCTCTTTGCATCTAGTTTTCAGTTGATCTGTTTTCCACTGATGCACTCCCATATACCTAGAATCTTCGTGTTTGCCAGAAGCGCTTCTTCGTACGACAGGACGTAGTAGAGGACGAGCAATTGGGTTGTGATGCTGTATCGTTGAGCAAGACGAGTATTTTCTCCCTGTACATAAAACCACATACAAAGGTCATGTTGCATTCCTGATTCTTGAGAATAAAAATTTGGATTTCCCTGCAAATATGAAGAAAGATAAGGCAGTAAGCCTCGTATAAAAATATCAACCCATATAAGGTCCAAGAAGTTGCAGGGAATTTTTTTTTTTAATGAGATTCAAACATAAAATGTATTTTTAATATCTTGGGACACTAATAATAAGTAATCCCAGGATCCCAATGCAAATCAAAGCTTGCCACTCATTCTACATGTGTCCAAGTGACCATTCTTGTACTTCTATCAAAATGAAAACACTTCTTTAAAAACCAGCTAGAGTGCTTCCATTAAATAGTTTTCTTATCTAACAAGATCAAGTTTGTATAAAAATTATACAAATCCTATGTAAACACCTCCACTTTTCAATCCATGAAGTGCTTTTCTTTGCATTTTTAACAGCATGAGTTGGTGAGTTCCCAAGGAAAAGGGCAAAACAGGGACAAATAGCAATCCTCCTAAAATCTGAGTAGCAGTAACAAGATTGACTGCGAAACGCATGACCATCACTGTAGTAGGGGGTAGTTTACTATACAGGCATTAAAGACAAAGTGAAGCAACTTACAGAATCTGCATCATGCATATACACAAAATACTGAACCACATGTTCACATGAAGGTACACGAAAGAAGCAAACAAATCGTTTACCCCAGAGAGTCCTTGAAAAACATTCAGTATCTCCTGTTCCGTGACAGGCTGATTTGTGGCCTCTGGGTTGGATTTAGATGCAGGAGTAAGAATAGAGTTAATGTAGACATCAATAAGAGGAAGCAGCTGAGGATGGAGTGGGGGGGTGGTTTCACAGAGCTGCCGATAGATCCAGTCCTAGAAAAAAACTTGCATTACACATTCAGTTTCAAAGCTGGAGGGCAATTTTTTGTCTGCAAGTCCATACCCTTTTGACTAGTTACAAAAAATGTAACTGAATGAGGCTTTGACTTGGGAAAGTGTAATACCAGTTCTGAACTGGGCCTGTCATCATCAACTGTGTCTCCTGGACCCTGCTCTGCACACTAGTAAAACTTGTCCTGGCTGGAAATACCATTCTGATTACAATTTTATTAAGCACAGACAGGGGGAAAGAGATAACTTTCTTATTATATAATTTTTAACTTCACTAAGTTGTGGTCTCCAGATTACAAAGTCAAAAGTGGGTACCCTACCTTCATACACAGTTCCTTCCTAAATTACATGGTAACAGGCCATAAGATTCATCAAGAGTTCTGTTCCTACAATTCAACCAAAAAAACAGCCTGCAAAACCTAGTCAACATTCAAAACTACGAACAAAAATAACATTAAAGTCTTACCTTAATGGATACTTTGTGCTTGGTGAATGATCGACTTTTTAAAAGCTGGTAAATGCAGTGAATAGGTAAAAACCCAGTAATGTTGGCACTGAGATTGCCTGTGACAGGCACACGAACTGCATGGGCCGTAACAACCTAAAGGAAAGTTATAATTAACAAGAAAAATACCACAAATATTCACCTTATGACAATGCATAAGCACAAGGTGACAAAGTCACACAGCTACATTCTTTCCAGCATTTACTTATTTTTCATTGTTTGGAAGCTGAAGAATATTTTTATGTAGTTTAAAACAGTAAGTGTAAAACTGTAACACACTTGGATTCTTCTTGTAGGTCAAACTGAAGGGAGTACAGAAGAAAAAAGAAGAAAGAAAAGGAAAAAAAAGAAAAAAAATAAAAAGAGGAAGGAAAAAAAAAATACCTAGACTTAAAATACCTGTTCAGTGAAAATCTCCTGTGTGAAGATTGTCTTCATTCTGCTGAGTGAGCTGGGCTTAATAACAATCTGAAACAAAGAACAAAGAACTTGTAATTTTAAGTTCTAGCTTTCTGATAAGTAAGTACTGCCAATTTATTCTACAAATTTTTAACCTTTTTAAACTTGTCTTCAGGAGGACACCAGGAAAACATTCACATCTATACTTTATATGTAAAACAAAAATATTTTCAACTGTCACGAGTTCACCGCTCTATGTCTTCCTTATCCTAAAAACTACCTATTTAACTTTTACATTTGAAGAGATGCTGTTTCACGATAGTAAATTCAAGGCAAGTCTCCCTTGGTAATTTTCAGAAATTAATTATTATATATGGAGACATGTGTTTAAACTATTTAAAATTAAAAGTTTGCAGCTCATCTTGGAAACTACTTCAATTAGTCTTCTAAAAAAGTTCATTTCTTGCAAATAATGATTTCATCAAGTCATCACTTTTTGAAGATACTTTTATCACAACATTCCTCTCTATCAAGAGGTATGCACAGTTTAATGCTTTTCTAGAGGAACTAATTTAGTTACCTATTTTTTTACTTCACGTTTGCTTTAGGTATATTGGCAAAACCAAAGTTCTTTATATCAAAACTAAATTAAATTCAAGAGTATAAATACACAGTAAAAAGTTAATTTTAACAGAGAAATGTATGTGCTAGAAACAGATTAGGTTTTACCTTCATTCCCAGGGTGGAGCAGACCAAATCAATGATAGCACTGAGCTGATTACTATGGAAATACATGGCTACCAAGAGAAGCATCTCTCCAAAAGAAGCAGACACACCAGAAATGCTAATGGTAACAAAGACAAAGAGTTATTTTCCAACAGGACATAAATCAACGTGAGATTACTGAAATCACTGAAAACAAAAGAAGTCCACTCTCACCTTTCAAAGTAAGCTTCTTCCTTTATCATCCAACTAAGCCACATTACCATGAGCTGCTCCTGTTCCGGGGTGCTGCACAGAGAAAATCCATAAAAGATCCTTCTCCCACGAACTACAGCTAGTTTTACTGACAGTTACTAGCAGAAAAGCCAGTATTTGAGGAATCTTACGCCAGGAGACTGTCACTTTCACTTTAGTGCCAAGCAGCTGACAAGCACTGATATTCAGCACAGATTTCTGTCCAATTGTCAGGCAATTTCCCATCTTGAATGCACAGAGCAGAAAGCTACATCCATTAAACACCTCCTACACTACTACTCTTTTGAAGAGGGTCTCTAAATCATTTAGCCATAAACTTGTACAACGGAAAAGTGAACTACTAAGGGCTACCTTAGCCTTCAAAAAATATTCCAAACCAAGCTAATGGCAATGCTCCCCTTTCAAAAGATTTGCTATAAACAACAGGGAGAGCAGGGTACAATATCAATATACTCCTCGTAGTGCGAGACAAATCCCTTCGACCAACATAGAGAGATTCGTAAAAAGAATTAGGAGAGCAAAATTGTGCAGCTCTGGGGAGGTCATTGCCTTAACAGTGCTGAAACAGCAACATCTTTACAAAGCTCCTCCTTCATTGAGAGGTACCTGACAAGAGTGGAGAAGGCCAGAAGCATACAAAAGGAGAGCGACACAAAGCGGACACCAGCTGGAGTCGCGGGAGGCCGGCTGGTCATCAGCTGCAGCAGCTGCTCAGCTTCTTCATCAGTTGGCCTGAACAGGAGAGAAAAAGAACAAAACCCATGTTGCCAATTTAAAAGTGAAGAGATTTCCAGTCTCATCACAATGGTTAAAGATTAAATTTTCTGTTATTTAATCTACCTATTGAGTTTCTGTCAATAAATGAGTAGCAAGATCAGCTGGTAATTCTCTTTGAACTTAAAGACATAAAAATCTCTGTTTAGAGATGCCAACGGTGAGAAAACTTTCCCAGGATATGATCCTGCCTATTAGTATAAAACACTTAAAATTAACCCTAACAATGCACGAAGATACTAAGTTAGCATTCTCTAAAAAGTAAAAGCAGAGGAAAATAAATCCAAAATTCATGTAGCGTATGTTGCCAGAGTTTTTAGCTGCTTTCTCTTCTACACACTATTCCAACCACTTAGGCCTACAGTTTTTTTAAACAAGTCAGTAGAATTGATTTTGCAGTATTAAAGAGAGCACCACATTTGTTACATTATTTTAGATTAAAAAAAAAAAATCAGCAAAGTTCATAAATGGATCTTTACCGTTAGAATGAAAAAACTTTTCTGCTGAGAACAGTACCGGAAACTAAAAAAACATACCTGCCTAAACAGACCTTAGCACTACACAACGTTGCCGTCTAAAGACAAAGAAACTTCCAACTACTGGCGACTCCAGCCCTCAGCACGTGAGAGGGGCCTCCCCCAGTACTAAAACTGGCGAGTCCTGTCGAGACCATCTCAAGGACACAATGGCATCAAGAGACAGCTCATGCTAAAAGTGCCCAAAGCTCTCAACCTCTGTTTAAATGGACAGACACTGAATAAAAAACACAGAGCATTAAAACTTCCATTACTTCAGCCCAGCAATTCCCATCAAAGCGCAGTAGAGGCGTAACAATGCGCTGGCTTTCACGACATGCTCTTCCTTCAGTCCTGAATACACAGACACATTTGGCTCCATATCAACATCTGCTTCTTCAACAATGTGTGTGCTGCGAACCGTGGGAAGGATTCCCATGAGCTCCAGGAGCAGCTGCCTCCTCATTTGCCAAAGCACAGAACTGATATTATCTCTCTTTCTCTGTGTAAGAGGTTAAAAGACGAGGGGAACAATGTAAAATTCAAAACATCAAACAACATATTACATAAGAGCTTCCATAATGATGAAGTCAAGGGAGAAAACGAAGGAGGAGCACAGGGGGAACTTTTTTAAAATGCAATTTTCAGTACCAGGACAACAGGCAACACATGATCATATCACAACAGTGTACTACGTTGAAACACAAGTTTCACCTAACTCAATTAACTAAGCAAGTCAAAACGCAGCTTCCTACTGTGAACACTGAGAATGAACATATTTATCAGGTAAACATTACGAGCTCACAACTCCCTGGTTTCCATGCCTATTGAATCACCTACCCAAAAACCTCTCGGAGGAACAACCAAAAAGCTGCCTTCAGGGACGCTATTTATAGACCTGATAGTCCCACAAGAAGACATTGCCTTGTAAAGGTTGCTCCAAGACACATAAAAGGATTTATATGCATTCAGACAAATACAGGTGCCCACATCCAGAGGAGTTACAGCAAGCTGTAAGAATATTTTTTAAAAAGCAGAATATTTAAAGATTTTCATACCTGTTGGCCATTTCGAATAAAAGTTCCAAACCAAGTTCGGACCTTTGCGTTTGTTCCAAGTAGCAAACCACTCACAAAACACACCAGGTCACTCACTCCGTCATCTGAAGCTTCATTTTTAGTGTGATCCAAGGTCAAAGCCACACCAAGACCTGGCAGATGACACTCTTCCACCTAGATAAAATGCTCAGGCTCAATCATCTTATCTGTTTTCAAAGCTCCAGTGAGGATTATAATTATGATTCTCACGACAGATGAGACTTACCACCATGCCTCTGACCCTCAGAGCTTGGGAAGGGTTCATTTTACACAGGTGGCGAAGTGCTTCTGTTCTACGACGTCCTCCAACACTTTCCTCATCCTGCCGTTCACCGTTCTTAATCAAACCTCTACAGACTAAATATCCAACAGGAGGTGTAAGTAAATCTGTCCTTTCCAACAGCAAGCCACAGAAACATAAACGCACAAAGCCAAGCCGTTCTGTTCAGCTCATTATGATTTATTAGCTGAGCCACACGAATCTTGTCTGGGCAAGAACTCATGATATACGCTCTAGAAGCAGAACAAGGAAATGGTCTTTCTCCTCAGAGAAATTACAGGGTCATTACAGATTTATGCATCATCCAGTTACTACTCGTACTCTATCTAACGTAACGTGCATCTGGCAACCCTGGAGACTGAAATTTTACTGCGAGGTAAGGGATGCTAAACAGGCACTGTCAATACAAACTTTTCACCTCGTAACACAGCTTAGCCTAAGGGATGAGAACTATTAGCAAGGCTGGCCAGGTTCGCAGTCCCAGCCACTCGCTGCCCAAGCCCGCCTTTGGAACAGCGACCTACAGACAGAAAGCTGCAAAGGGCACCTGATGAGCCCACGAGCAGGCTGCACAAAAGGGGAATCAACATGATGGGAATGGGAGCCTATCAGCATCTCCAGGTACAAAGGCATTCAGATGACGTGTCATAAGCCAGACTCTCTCCTGTTCACACATTCGTGACACATGGTTTAGCCCAGAAATAACTATATTGCTAGAAATAACTATATTGCTGGAAATCATTTCAAACCTTTAAAAAAAGTAAGCTTGACAAGAAGAAACTGTCACTAACCCTCATTAAAGCTATCAGGAACATTGGCCACCAGAAGGCAGAGGAACCAGGCTCCATTTTTAACGTGCAACAAAGCTTCAGCCACATCAACTATCGGCAACAGTGACGGCAACTCTGGATAAAGAGAGTTTTAAAAGTCAGTGTTTCACTGTGAAACAAGCAAAACCTTGCTTTTAACAGGCGTTTCAATAACACACTCAAATCAATAAATGGAAAATCAATCTGTGATTTATTCCTCTTTCAAAGAGCTAGAAAACCTAGGTCAACCTTAAGGCAGTCACAACGGCTCCAGAAGTTATTTTTTCACATTTGTAAGGCAGAACACACTATAAACACAGAATACTACACCTGCTTGCAAAATGCAGAGAACGTCTGCTGCCTCCTCCAGATAAACAGGACTCTCGAAGAGCTCCGAAGATTTGAGGAAAAACTCACCATTTGATTCTGACACCTACAAGACAGCATTCATCATCACTGAACAGGTTTTATGAAGCAATTTGTCTAATCAATCTTTTATGGCTTCAGCAGACTGATTACATTAAAAACTGCCAAAAACATACAGCTATAAACACAGAACAGGCAAGAAAACTGTTTAGCATAAAAAATATTTACTAGCAGAAATACTTCAGTACGGCTGGTATCATTGCTTCTTTCCAGAAGAAACAGCTCACCGACAATTCTAAAACCACGATATATTCAAAGAAAAATAAAATGCTTGAGGGGGAGAGTGGGGGTGGTGAGGAGGGAGGTAAGAGAAATACGGGGACAAATATCATACTGCACTAGAAGTAAAGAACTGGATAGAGAAAAGTTCTAACTTCATTTTCAAACATGATTTTCACACTGATGCATCACAAAATCACATTACATTTGAGTGCAGCATACTACAGAACACACAGAGCCTGCATCATGTCAGAAAAGGTTACCCTCATCTGTTCTGAGGAAGAGAGGGTCCCTTCGGGCAGCGGGACTCAGAGGGAGTTTAACCACCAGCCACCATTCCATCGGACTGAGACGTGAAGGCTGGGTGAAGGGGGTAAGGACTGCAGAAGAGTATGTATGCACCCCAGCAGCGCCGGAAACGGCACCAGACCGGGCATCAACCGACCCAGCGCATCTTTTCACCCACACAAAATTCGCAAGCGCCCAGATACGGAGAAATTTACCTTATTCATAATTGCTAGCAATTCGCTGAGCACGAGGCGCAGGCGGCGGGGTGAATCGCTGTGTTCAAACTCCAGTGTCAGCCCGTGCTGAAGCTGCGACACCAAGATGCTTTCCCCGCTCCCTCCTCCTAGTTTGTGCCTAAGAGACAATTAAACACAACAACTATCAAGCACTTCCGCAAGCGCGGACGTGTTACCGGCTAAAGGCCGGTGGTGATCAATTCGCTGAGCACGAGGCGCAGGCGGCGGGGTGAATCGCTGTGTTCAAACTCCAGTGTCAGCCCGTGCTGAAGCTGCGACACCAAGATGCTTTCCCCGCTCCCTCCTCCTAGTTTGTGCCTAAGAGACAATTAAACACAACAACTATCAAGCACTTCCGCAAGCGCGGACGTGTTACCGGCTAAAGGCCGGTGGTGATTCCATGGGGATTCCTCCTCCCGCGCCAGCGACCGGACACGGGACCGGGCAGACAGCCGGAATCCCGGGGCCCCGCTCCCCACGGCACAGGCAGCAGCGAGCAGAGCGCAGGCACCGGACCCGTGTTCCCCCCGGCCCGGACACCGAAACCCAGCTCCCTGCGTGCCGCCCTGCCGACACCCGAGGCTCCCCGGGAGA